TATGCAAAGAGAAACACCCATTTATTTTATAGAATTTTTTATATGCTTTTTAAATATGCAAGTCTTCTTTTTTAATTATATTGAAATGTTTAAATAAAATGAAGGAAAAATTATCTCAAATAATTCCACCTTTTAGTGCTCTTTCAAAAACAATCCTACTTTTCACTCTCACCAGAAATAATACCACCTTCCCGCATATGTGCGAGTTTTGGGTCGCCGTTAAAAAACTAACGGTCACTTAACGGAAATTTTGAAAAATGCCCGTTTTTCGCAAATAAATGAAAGGTGGGATTATTTTAGGTAAATTCTCCCTTTTTCGTTTTTTAATTTCTTTAAATGTATTTTTATTTTATTTTTTTGGAAAAATACCAAATATAAGTGTTTTTAGAGTTAAACTAATTGTTTTTTTTCAATAACCAATAATATGGTAATAATTAGAAAATAAATTATTCTACACAATAGAGCTAATTTATTAACTTCATAACTAACTACTCCCTCCGTTTGGAAAAAGTGTTCCTCTTTTGACTTTGTGTAAAATTAAGGAAGTATTAAATTGTAGTTGACTTCCAATTTTGCCCTTGATGTGATAGGTAAAAGTAAGATGTGATAGATAGATTATTAGAGATAAAGTATGATTGTAACGCCCCAAAACATACCCTAGAATTATTAATGAATAAATAATCAATTAATCACAATTGTTTCAATTAAAATAAATTATTGTTGGGCTTTGGGCCGATATTAAATTTGTTTTGACATCTAATATCAAAATCTGGATAAGTCTCATAGAGATAAATCTAATATGTGGACTATTTGTGTGGTCTTGATTGGGAACCTGAGTACAGACCCAAATCAAGAGTAAATAAAAAATTTGTTTAGAATGTGAATATTGAAATGATTTGTTGAAATAAATCATTCGAACAAATGATATGAATTAAATGTGAGAAACCTTTTTGAATAAAGATCAACTAAATCAATTTTTATTCTGTCAAAGTCAAACACCCAAAAATATGATGTCAGAAAAAGTATAACCAATAAATATAAAAATTATATCGTTGGATAGAGTTTAACTGTCCGATCGCAACAGTGCAAACAGAATTCAATTCGGAGAAAGTTGGACCAAAAAGTGTACCCCGACTGGAACCAAATTTGTCCCAATCAGGGAGTGGCATGTAAAATCCTACAAATCGCCGCTCACTCCACTCAGCCGATTACACAGGGAAAGGAAGCAACGTAAATTTGGCTCCTTCCCCATCACCATTCCTATATAAGAGAACCCAAGCTCCTTCATTTCTTCACCAAACCTCTACATTCTTTATTCTATTCTGTTCTTTGTTGAGAGAGGAGTACAGTGGTGCTATCAATTTGGTGAGAGGTCGCCGGAGCTAACCACAAACCTCGCCGGAAGTTTCGCCGGAAAATATCCAAAACCTTCGTTAAGCTTCGAGGTAAGCCCGTAGATATATCTAGTGACTAGAATGTTCGTATAGATCGTTTCTACGTTCATAAACGGTCGTTTGGTTGAGTTTTGTGTTTGACATG